TGCCTGGTCCTATGTTGATAATGATGATGAGGTCAACCAGATGACCTCCAGGGAGTAGATCAGTCCCTGTGAAGTCTCAGGTATCAGCTTAAACCAATTAGTACGTCTATAATGAAGTTGAATACGAACAGTGACTTTGGGCATCCCTGCTGGATACCACTAGTTGTCATCAATTGCGATGACAACTCCGTAACCTCTTTCAAGGTCACGTGAGTTCGAGTGGAGAGCTTGGGTAAGTATTATGTACTTGCTCGGTACTCGCTTCATAGTCATGCAATGCCGCAACACCTCATGGTCGACTGAGCCAAATGCCTCTTTAAGATCACGAAATATTGCAAGAGTCGTTCAGCGGTAGGTATGCCTGTTTTCAGTAAATGTCAGAGGATGAAGATATGATCGGTGCACCCTTGTCCAAGTCTGAAACCTGCCTGGTTCTGTCGAGTTTGCTGTTCTCGAGCTAAAGTTATGCGTCGGATAACTGTGGACCCAGGATTTTGGACACAATATTAGTCAAATTAATTGTCTCTCTTTTTATAGACTTAAATAATCTGAGAATTTGAGCAGTCTGACCGCGTTACCTCCGACTTTCATACACTACCTAGTAGCCCCATCACTTTAAACAGTAACTTCCTACCTCCATTTTGAAAAATTCAGGTAGCGAACTGTCAGGTCCTGCTGTTTGCATCGTTCCAGGTTCAATAAAGCCTCAACGTCAAAGAATATTGGAGGACCGACATCTACGTCCCATCCAGGTTTAGACTGAATGTTGCTCAACTGAAGCTTTGCTAGAGGGCAGTTAAACTATGCTTCAAATTGTTCTACCCGTTTCACATATCTGTCGTGGGAGGTTGTCAGCGTCCCATCCTTTTCGGTGATGCTTTCACAAACCATCGCCTTCTTGTTGTCGGTATCCTTAATAAGCCTAAATAATTGCTGGGTATTACTTAATGCTGATGCCGTCTCCATCTCTCTCGCTTTCACCAACCATCACTTCTTGCTGCCGTTGCGAAGACTCTTGATCAACTTATGTTTTAGTTGCTTTCGCTCTTCATTGTAGTCTGTGACAGCTGGAATCAGTCTTCTTGCATCAATTAGTTCGGATGATGTTGAGGAAATCCAATAATGTTTGCTAACCTTCGTGTGTAGGTTACCAACTGTCTTTATCTCTGTTTCAACATCAAACTTAATATCACACCACGACTTAGGATGAGCACTGCTGTCATGTTGAGATAAATGGTTAGCTAACTCCTCCCTAAATTGTTCTTCCAATCAAGTATAGACAAGCTTAACTATCGACTGTTTTCTGCAACCAGTAAGGTGCAGACATACACGAGCCTGTACCAGAGCAAGATGGGAGTCCAAACAGGTACTTCAGAAAGTGACAATCCTCTATTAATCTTCTCCAACGATGGCTAATAATAATATGATCTATCTGTATCCATCGGTTTGAAGTCAGCGAACGTCCTGTGTGACAGTTTCTCTCCTTATGCCTAAAGTTAGTGCTGGTCAGAAACAAGTCGTTGTGGGAATAAACTTGCGACTGACGATCCCGTTATCCGTTTGTTCGCTTGGGATTCCGTAAATACCCCCAGGATCCCTTTTTGATTGACTCAGCTTCCCTACTTGAGTGTTAAAGTTACCTGTCATTATGACTACATTTTAACTTCTTGCTTTCTGTAGCAAAATTGACAGTTTTTCACAAAATTCATCATTTGCATCATTCGAACTGAAGTCGGTGGGCGTGAGTAGGCAGAGATTACGACCGCCTAGTCTAACGATCCTTCCTAGTTGTTACAGAACCATCCTGTCAAATAGGACATAGGTGGCTGTTTGCTGGTATCCAGCTGGGAGCACTTTCTGCCCTTCAGCTCAATGCTATACCTACATCACCGAGTCAACGAGAGCTAGCCAGTGGGTCTCCAAAAACTCCTAACGTCCATTTCAGAAACACACCATATTTCCATGGCTAGAGTTTCAGAGCTCTGGTGAGCAATACTTGGTGCCTGATTTCCGATAGAGTTCGCACTTTGAAAGCTCCTACACGAAATCGATGACAGGGCCTTAAAAGACTATAAATGAGGTTTCGATGGTTTTGATTGTTAGAAATGGTCGTGGCCGATAATTCCAGGCTGCTCACACTATGGAAAGCTAGTTCTTGAGATGAAAAAGAAAGGAAAGTGTGTGACCGCAGAGCCCAAACAACATCTCCTTGAGGCCTGTAACAGCGTTTTGCGGGTCATCGTTTTGATGTTTGGTTGTTCTAACACCGGTAAGAGAAAACCCATATCACCAGCACTGGAAGATCATGGGGCATGGAGAAGCGTGCTATTCTAGAAGACGACCTTATCTAATCCTCCTTTCTCATTGGAAAGACAGCATGGCGCTGCTGGTCATCCAACGAAAGCACCTTACTGCTGTCAGGCCCCATCCAGTACCACTTTGCTCTAAGACCCTCATCATAGCGTCGCAATTCACACCACAACGGTAAGTACTTTTTCGTCTTATCATTATCCAAAAGACGTTTCTGACATGGTACGACCTCGAGAAAAGTAGCGTTTCAGCTAGTATAGTTCATTGAGTCATTGTGATATACAAGCCCGACCACCATGTCAAGGTAGCAGGTATCAGCCGTAGCATAAGCCGTATACTAAGGTACTGGCACACCAGTAACGTAGAAGTCAGGCGTTGAGTTTAGACAAAAGAGGTATGTCATTTCATGAGGGAACAAGTCTGAACTCTGCGATCAATGAAATGACATATTACTGCAGGTACGTCGGTGATACTTTCATTGTTTGTGAAATTATGAATCATATGTCAAAGTTGTTCGACACCTTCAATCAAGTCCATCCAAATATTAGTTTTACAGCATAATATGAGGATGAGGACAGTTCCAGTTTTTTGGATCTAAGTATGAGTCGGCGATGTGATGATACAATTGAAAAAACTATCCACAGCAAAGACACTTGGATTGGTCATTAGCTTGACTATGGTAGTTTCTGTCCTGTCAGCTGTAAGCGTGGTTTAGTCAGGGCGCTATTCACTAGAATAAAAACGCTGCGCTCAAAAGATAAACAAGAAGAAGAATTCGGTATAATTGAGAAGGCACTCACAGACAATGGGTGTCCGAAGAAATTCATCATGAAGCATGGAAAAGAATTTATTGAGAGACCAAAACATTCCAAAGTGATGAAACATCTAAAAGAATAAGTAGTAAAATAAAAGCTGCACTGGGAAGGAGCTTCTCTGCTCCCAGATCGATCTCAGTTTACAATACATTACGCTCAATAATACAGCTGAAAGTAGACAAATATCCATCTCACGCCACTTCCGACTGCGTGTGTATCAATTCACCTGTGTTTGTGGAAGCAGTTACTTAGAACTGATTGAAAAAAAGGTATCTACTCCATTTTATGAGCATATTCCGAGAAATCTGTGTCTGAATGGTACCAAGGTCTTTAAGAACGCAATCGCCAGCCATGTGATGGGAACAGGATATCAAATAAATGTATCTCAACCCATCAGAATAATCAACAGACGAGGAACGCCGTGTTTATTACGGTTTGCAGAAGCTTATGCTATCAAACATTTCTAACCTGACGTATGTTCTTAGAAGGAGACTGTAATTAACCCTTCTTTACCTTGTTAACTATGTATAATTTTTTGCATGTGTATGTATGTAGTCTTCCCTTTTATTTTGATTGGATCATCTCTTCATTAATTACTTACTGATTGTTAATCACTTAACGATTTTTCAGTCTTCCATGTAATTGGGTAACCTATTAGCTTCTAAACAATCCCTTCCTTTACACTGATTTTCGTCTGTTGTCTCCCCCCCCCCACACTCCATAGCTCCAGAATTTTCTACCTCATTTGGTATAAATTGCCAAAATTTCGACTAAGATTTTTAACTATTGATCATGTGCTTCCTTGACTCACTGCCGCATTGTTAATCTTGTATTTCAGACCTCTATTTATTTCGAATTATTTAAAGTATGTTATATTATTATTGCTACTGATACTTTATTTCAATTGTAGGTCGTTTGCAGCTGATGAAAGGCCATGAAATAAAATAAGCGTATTTTATCCTGCAGATATCTTTGTTCTTACTTTGTTCAAATTTTCCGCATCTCTAAATTATTAAATGGTTGGATTCGGTTTCCTTATTCCAGATTAACTTGTACCTTTAAAATGTGTTGAGATAATTGTTGAAGAGATGCGTTGCAGCGACATAGGGTAGTTTGCCAGAAGAAAATACTTGAAATTGCAGTGTGCATACGATGTCATCTGACTGCACAGAAAATATGTAGGCTATATAAGACGACTTTTACTGATAAACAACTAATTTTTGTGTTTGCTGATTATGTCATTCGGAGTAAAGTACTTTCTTAAGACCATCATTAGGATTTATCGTTGATTTTAAATCATTGAAAGCAATCAGTGATTTTCATACTTGGGTCGCTTTTTATTCTACAACTGTTCACTCATTGATAATATCCAAGTTGGAAAGATAGAAAGACTCCACTGTAGTTATACTGGTCACACTTGATAAGAGTACGTGTTGTATTACTGTCCATTTGTCTCAGTAGCATAAATGACTAGAGTCAAGGTTTAGAGAATCGTATAATGTTTATATGTTTAAACCAGGATCCATATGGATGCTATCAATTCATGATTTTTACGATTTCGTTTAAATCCTTTCTCAAACCCTACTCCTTCTGACAGTTGTCGTTGTTTTAAAAGTTCAAACATCAGTTGCAGAGCGAAAGCAAGTTTATCATAGTTTTGTTTTCGTTGTATGCAACCTTTTAAAGTCCCTAATCAGTGTGTTTATGGTCTGTGATGCATAATATCTTCATGCTGTCTCGTTCGTTTCGATTGCTGTCTTAGTTCCGGATTTGTAACCGTGATTATTACATGTTTAGTTATTCTATGTATTAGGCCAATTTCGTTTATCATCAACTGTGTTATTCTTGCCATTGAATTCACTTTTTTTGTTCCAGGGTCGTGGAAATTCTACTCATGCGTATACACACAGCGTTAGTGAAGGTCATCATGTCTTCCTTAATTTAGAAACTCGGCGGTTTTATTGCTTACCTGATGATTACGAGATTTTAGATGGGTCATTGGAAGATATCACCTACCTTCTAAATCCTACTTTCACTGCTTCTGAAATCTCGGCACTGGACGTCAATTCGAAAATGGTCAGAGCCTATAATGGTCTTACATATTATCCTGGAGTTGTAGGTCTTAATAACATTAAGGTAAGTTCTCCAATCGAAAACAGATAGATTCTTCTACCTAGACCCTGCTGTCACATCTTAAGCATTTTGTTTTTCTTCTAGGCTAATGATTACTGCAACGTCATATTACAAATGCTTAGCCATATAAGCCCATTACGAGATTATTTCCTCAATAGCAAGAACTACGAAAATTCTCCTATGGTTTCTGGAGACCAAATGATGCTCCTGGTTCAACGATTCGGTGAACTTATTCGGAAATTGTGGAATCCTCGAAACTTTAAAACTCATGTTTCACCTCATGAATTTTTACAAGTAAGTGTTTTCGCACTCAGTATGCAGTTATCTTGATCTAATTTGGTTGACTGATGTTGACGAGTTAGATTTGTTTGTTTTGGTAGATGTTTGAATTTACTTGGTGATCTTGTCTATCTTGTTGACATTTACGAAATTCCTTATAGTCTTTCATGAAATAGTATAAGTTAAAAATTTTTATTCTTCAAAGCATTTACTTGCGCTTCTGTTCTGCACAGCCGAAGTTATATCCCTTCAAAATGAATAAGGGGTAACGAGCAAACTGAATTTAATTATAGGCCTTTTAAATTGACTGTGATGAAATGTAGTATCAATTTACAGATTGACATTTGGTTGTGGGTTAATTTTCCAACACTAAGCACTCAAGTTTGTAGCATAAAATTATTTGGATTGTTTTAGAAGTGACCTTGATAAGTCTCAACAGCTGTCTACCGCTACCTATCGCTCCTATCTTTTCTATCTCCTTAGCCTTCACTACCCACCATTGCTTACAGTTATTCCATAGACTTTTGTCAGTTTACATTTTTCAGGTGCTTCTGCACTTCATTATGCTTGGAGCCCGCAGGAATGCACCTACGCGCATCCATTAATTCAGAAGAAGGTTCTGAGATCCATTGGTACTTTTAACCCTTTTCCTGAGAGTCACCCATGGTTTTCAGCTCTTTTTGACAGAAATTTAAAGATGGCGCTGGGCGTTTTCTGGATGAGTGGTGTGATGTGGTTCTACTCCGATAACCATTTAGCCAGTTTCCAGCTGAAAGCATTCTCTGTTCTCTTTGCCGAGCTGCACTTGCGATGGTCGTGTTGCTGTTGTTTTCCTACGTTCATTTAGGAGTAGACATACAAATATTTGAACCAACATGTAATTGCTATCCAAACACAGGCTCCAGGAAGAGTGGCAATCTCCTACCGACTCTCTCCAGTGATGGCTGATAGCAATATTGAAATACACTCAACAACCTTGTTTTCACTTTCGCAGTAGGCAGTGAGTCACCTATTGTTTGAGAGCTAATGATACTACCTGGCTACTCATACCTCGGTAGGTGGAGTGGTGTTCGAACCCGCAACCCACTTAAAGTCAACTCCATAAACCAACCAGCCACAACTTCATGATAGAAATATGGTCTCTTTGTGTCCACCGCTTAGTTGAGGTCGATGGTCGCCATGCGAGCCAACGTCTGTCTTTATACCTGAAGTTCTTGCTGGTCAAAAAAGTTAATTGTCTGATCACAGTTGTAGCAGGCAATCCCCGTAATCTTTTCGTTCGGCTGGGATTCCGAAAGTGCCATCTGAGGGCTTCCTTGCTCGGTTTAGCCTATCTGCTAGTACCACCTGGTACGATAACCACATCTGAACATTTGACTTTCAGTAGGACTCTAGACAGCTTTCGGTAAAACTCATCCTTCACTTCTTATGAACTGCAGTCAATGGGTGCGTATGCACAGATTACAAAGAGACAGCGGCGAGTTTTACTATTCTACTTAGTCCTCACCGTGTCGTTCAGTCGAACAGCACATGGTTGAGCAGCGAAGTTTCTGCCTTAGATCACCAGAATTAGTCGTCTAACTTGAAGGGTTAATTTCGTGAATTCACCATATTGGCCGGATGTGGTTAAGTTTATGACCGCATTTGGATTATGTATGTATGTCTTAGAAATACAGCACACATCTGTTTCCGAAGAGGCTAGAATTTCGGCTCGCGAAGCATCTTCCGTGTGATGGAGGTTGCGAACATTCAAAGCTCCACTGTTTAATTTAGGTGAAGGTTTCAGAAGACAAAGGACTCTATTCCGCTGTCAAGGGCTACATAGCTGGATGAAATTAAAGATGATGTAGGAACGTTGACCGAGAGGTATAAAAGAAGATTAGAAGTTAAGGAAGTGGGAGGCGAACAGTGATCTGAGGGGAATTGAATGCTGACAAAGTGGTGAGAGTGGTCCACACTTTCCGTCACTAACCATACTGTGGAAGGCTTGTTTCTTAACTGACTAGCCATCGGGTTTATTCCCAAAATATCGTATTCAACTTACCACTTTGATAATTATTCAATGTAGGCGTTTTTAATGGAAACTCTAAAATTCTAATTCTAACTGTTATTATTATTATTTATTTATCCTTGGGTTCCTAATGGAACATAGGGCTTCAGTAACACGTCTCCAGTGCACTCTCCTCTCTACAATCTGTAATTTCTTGGAAATGCCTTTCGTAACGCGCCAAGTCTCTGAGCCATATAGAAACACTGACTTGACGTTGGTGTTGAAAATCCGGATCTTGTTCCACATGCTGAGTGCAGAAGATCTCCGCACTGGTTTCAGGCTAATGAACGCCTGTCTTGCTTTTCCGATCCTGGCTGACTTTGACATCCTCGTCTGTGCCGCTGCCTGTAGGTGAAACAGTGCTTCCTAGATAGGTGAAAGAAGCTACTTCCTTTAAGCTTCTCCCATTGATGGTGATTGGAGCTTGTTGTTGGTGGTGGTGTTGGTTGGGTATCTTCATCACCTGTGTCTTCCCTACGTTCACTTGAAGTCCTGTCTTCGCTGCCTCTTCTATCAATTTGTTAGTTTTGACCTGTAGATCTTCAAGTTTGTATGACATTAGACACAAGTCATCGGTGAAATCCAGATCTTCTAGGTTCTTTTCCGTGGTCCAGTGTATCCCCCTCTTCTCTCTCCTCACTGTTTGTTGCATGATCCAGTCTACCACAATCAGAAAGATCATCAGTGACAGTGGGCAGCAGCCTTGTCTTACTCCTGTCTTCACTTCAAAGGCATCACTGAGCTTTCCATCATGTATCACTAGGCATGTGGCGTTTTCATATAGCTGTTGAATGAGATTGATAAAAGTTTTTGGTATTCCGTAGTGTTGAAGCAACTGCCAAATTACTAATTCTAACTATGATGTATTAATTCATATATTGTACATATTTTCTTCGTTTTCCACAGGCAGTTGTGCTATGCAGTAAAAAGCGTTTCCAAATCACTGAACAAGGAGATGCTGTCGAATTTCTATCATGGTTGGTTAATGCCATAGATAAAGCTTTGAGGCCTAAACGAATTCTTTGTCCAGCAAGTTTAATCAATAAGACTTCCAAAAGTATTGTCTCTTCCACCTTACAAGGGAAAATGAGGATATACAGTCGCAAAATCATGCCTGTGAATCTGCCAGAGGAAGAAAAAGCATCATTAGCCGACAGCCCCGAATATATGGTAAGCTTAATTTATTTCTTTGCATTATGCAGTCAGCAGTTAAGCTGATAACAGCTCATTCCGTGGATAGTAATATTTTAACTTAAAATGTCACAAACATATACTGCTCACCGCCAGAAAGACAAAAACATCGATTTTAGCACAAAAGTTCATCAGTTCAGTTACTGTATTTGATAGCGACGTCGACGAATGAGTGGAGAGATAAAGGTTAGACAAAGTGTATAGGAGGAAACGAATTTTTTAAACATGAAAGTTGATGAAAATGCTCTAAACTTTGAAAATATTAAAGAATAAGCCATTGTAATCGATTTTCAGCCATGTTATCATTAATCTCCAACCATTGATCCCTATTATCTCGAAGACGTAAACCACTGTCTATATTTCCCTACACATTTCAGGCAAACGATTAAACAATTCATGAACATATGCTATTTTTTGCTTCCACTACCTCTAACCTTTCCCCGTCCCTAACAATATTAGAGTGCAGACGGTGACTAGGCATCCTACTAACCCAATCGGCAAAAGTTCATGGTCTCACTCAATATCTTGTTTTCTTTGCCTGATAATACACTTTTACTAGCCTCTACGTTACTCATATGGCCATTTCTATATACGCAAACAATGCAGTAAAGATACCTGTAACCAAATTCCTGTGACCGTTATATCTCATTTTTTTTAGTGGCTATGTTTCATAGACTTATGATTCAGTCGAGCATATTGCTGCGCAAGGTACTTGTCCTTTTATAGGCAGTCAAACGGTCGGAGAATACTTCTGTGATAGGCACAGAATAATCAGTTTGAAGAACATTTTATCCAAGATTCTAGTTTCAAAAGTCATCAGACACATGGATGAAGCTCAGTAACGGAGAATTTGAAAAAATCAGGCAGATTTCTGACATTTTCATGCGTGTACTAACTTGATAGTCATCCTCTGCCAAATCGCACTATAAGGATACACTTGCTGGTGCCTGACACTAGCTGTATTTCTTGACCTGAAGTTGACATTTGACTCTCATCGTGAGGTCTTATTGTTGTCTCTCACTGAAATGGGCACGTGGTAAGGAAATTATTCTATTCAAAGCCGGTATTTGAACACCTGCCAGGGTGTGATCAAATGCATGTTACCTCTTCATATTTTCTACTTTTAGCGGTCTTATCTCACAGCCGTACAATGGTATAGAGCGGACGGCAGCGCAATATGCTCGTCCCTTCATAGATAGTCGGAATCTCGCCAGTTCCATAAATGATGCAAGTTGGCAAGTGCTAAACGGGCCCTGTGCATAAGATCTGAAATTTCTTCAGCAAACACCCCATTCGAGCTAATGAAACTCCCCAAGAAAGGAAGTAGTCAATTCACTTAATCACTTTAGTTCCTATCCTTAAACTGAGAGCAGCTGCAAATCAGTCTTGAAGCATCATTTGACATTCGAAAGTTGCGAAGCGCGTGGCTGTAGAGCCCAAGGAACATCTGACTGATACTGTCGCACGTGGTCTTTTTAAACATTTCTGACTGAGATTTGATTAACTTATATGCGGTTTGGGCAACCAGAGAATATCGTCAAAGCTTATGTAGCAATTTTGGCCTGCTTCTGAGGCTTTTTTTAACACCATGATGATTGACACCTTTACACAGACATTATAAAGAGACTGTTGGTGTTCTTTTTCGGTATAGACACATTTTCTGTATGCTGAAATTCACTAGATTTATCATACTAGTTATCACAGTCTGCAATTTTGATTACTTCAATTTTCAGACCTCAATATCAGACACGAACTTCTTTTACCTCACATGTGACTTACCGCCACCTCCATTGTACTTGGACGAATTCAAGGAAAATATAATTCCACAAGTTTCTTTGGCTACTTTACTTTCGAAGTTCAATGGTACCACTGAAAAAGAATATAAAACACATCGTGATTCGACTATGCGTAGGTTTGAGCTTCGTCGACTTCCTCCATATTTAATCCTCTACATGAAGAGATTTGTGAAGAACATCTTCACTTTGGAGAAAAATCCGACGATTGTCAACTTCCCTATTAAAAGCATTGATTTCGGCGATCTTTTAGCGCCTGAATTTCGAGCTAAACACCGGTAAGCCTAATTGATTTACAAATTAGTGTTTCTATTGTCTATATATACTCTATCGTATATCATTAAAAAACACCTAGTTATAGAAAACTATTAGTTGGAAATCCCCAGTTTTTGAAATATGAATGCAAAGAAAACATACCAGTAAATTACTATTGATATTATCGTGGCTGATTTTTTCCTTTTAGTTGTTTAGGCGGAGTTACTTTAATATAATTTATGCTACAGGTCAGCTTATACTAAATCTCTTAGTAATCTATCATAGGGATTATGGTACTGCTATCGCCTGATGTAAGTGAGAGTTATTTCACTTAAAGAGGCATTATTTTGGATTACCCGGTATTACTCAGTCAGTCAGTATCAAAATTGATTTTGGTACCACTGCTTAAGTATCCGAATTCCCAGTGGGTTGCCTACGCGCTCTGATACCCTTGTGTTAGGCATCAGTTTGAAAAGGCGTTGATTGGAGCCTTACTTTCATCAGGCGGTTTCAGCCATATATTCTTGTCCACCACGTCGTAAGTAGTCATGTCCGACCATATACCTCCGGTTGAAGTTTATTACGTCCACACTATCATGCAGAAGTGTGCATATATCTTTGCATTATCAACGCGTTCCAACTTGTGCTTCATTGTACTTTCTCCAAGGCTACACAGACATTGTATAATGCTTTTCGCCTGACAGGTGTAGCCTCCGCTACTGATCTTAACTTTAATTATAGTCTTCTCTTTGATCCAATGGTTAACGAAATGAAGGAACTATTAAACACTGGTTCTGTCTCTTATTGTTGTGTTGGCTTTCTATCTGGAGAATTTGATCAGATTACCGCTTACGTCAAACCAACTGAATGAGAAAGACAACAAGTTTATTTCACCAACCCACAATGAATAATAATTTATTTCACAAAATACATGAGGAAAGTAATTCCAAAGACCACTTCGCCAACGAGTGAAATAACCACTTCAGTTTGTTTATGATTGAAGATAACTAAGCCTAAATGGTTATTTCAGCGATTTCTAGGGTGGCCTTTAGACTTAATTCATGCAGAAAATTTACAAGACCCTAGAAGCATAGGTAACCTTGCCAACTTGTCGGCGAGTAAGAACAAAAAGTACCGTTCAGGCGAAGTGTTATTGATCGCTTGTTGCTGTCATCCATCTCGTGTAAGGACACAACATTCGTCCCTCTTTTCAGTTATCCATCTGCTGCATCACATGATACATAACGAGGGTTATTCTGTATCCTTATTGATCACTTTTTTGGACCTCATTGTCAGTTAACCAGTCAAAATGAGACCTGTTATTACTTTGTAACGTTCCAAGTTGCCGTACCTCATATAGGCACATCAAGGTAGCAGACACTGAAGTGAGAGATGGAGATTTACGAAAAAGATATGATTGCAAGTCGCAAGAAGTCATAAAAGATGAAAAAGGAGTAAAAGAGCAACGGAATTCGGCTTTACGATTCACACAGATATAATGTGCGGATGTATCTGCACCACTGCAACTGATTGAGTCTCTGACCAACGATTACGGTTGTCATGTGGACTCCAACCAAGAAATTTACATCTCAGACCAACCGTCAGATGTTTCATGGACCAATTTCACTTTTTAGTCCTGTCGCTGACTTTTTCACGTTTATCTGTGTCAGTGAAATGAATTTTGAGCCATATCGCCTAGAGTCTCCATTCAGCGATTTGGTTAGTCAGACAGATCCCAGCCGAGAAACCCACATTATTTTACATGGCTCGGACCACAACTCAAAAACTCCATGGACCGATGCCATGTTCTAGTCTGATCTCGTAAAACATTTTTCCACCCAACACCTACTTCAGGTAACATTGTGTGGTAAAACAAACTGACTATGCATATGTAACGTGTTTCCAAACCATCTAAGTTAATGCAGGTTGACGACTCCATCAGTTGACGTTCGTATTGTGCCCAAACTGTACACGTAACTTCCACGTTACTGAGGTGTACGTACCGCGAAATACGGCTACGAAGGCGACGGTGGTCGGAAATCACAACGGCTCGGTAGGTGGCGTAAGTTGTATAAGGCGCCATGTGAACTATTTTTATCCATGCAAAGATTTTGTCAGCCACTAACTCACCGAGGCTGATCCGATTTCTGAAGTCAGTGAAGTAGTCGGTGCACTCAACCACTTCACTCCGTATTCCTTGACACTGCACTAACGCAAACTGGTTTTGACACAGCAGTGTGCATTTGGGTGGGGAGAGATTCATTCTAAACATTTTCAAATTGTCAGTCAAGGTTTCTGGAAGGCTCCTGGTAATATCTTCACCGAACAGGACCACTTCATTTGCATATTCCCATGTCCTCTGTGACCGGATCGATTCCTCTAGTGGGACGACGAAAGGAAGACCTCCACATGTACGTGTCTTTGGTAAGGTTAAATAGGATTGGAGTGAGTGGAAATTCTTAACGGACACCAACCGACGTATACTGTAGGCTGTAATGCGCAGAAGGGTTATCGAATACAGGGCGTTCAGCGGAATGATGTATTTACATAGCACCCATTCCAATCATAAGATTTCTCAATGGAAATAGTCAAATGCCAACTGCAGATCAAAAAGTAAAGTTAGTACTTGGTGCCGGTAAGTGTGCCTGCGTTTCAGAACCTGGCCGACGGTGAACATCTAGCCGGTTTGCCGACCACTACTTGTGAAACCTGCCTCGTTTTCTCAGGCATGACTTTCACTCATGCATCTAATGATCTTAGAATTTAGGATCTTAGACATGATGTTCTTCAGACTGATTTCCCTGTTATTATCAAAAGAGGATTTCTCTCCTTCCTGGGAAACTCAAATAACCGGCGATTGAAATCAGTTAGAGGGGATTACATCTCACTTTCATGCGCCAGCTAACACTTCAGTTTATCCACCACCGTCTTTAAATACTTCTGGTATTAGTTCGTATGGTTTTGCTGCCTTTTCTTGCTCCAGGCTACTTTCAGCCTTCTCAACATCTGTAAACGTTTGGGACCCTATTTTGGTGTTTATTTCGGGATGACTGGATGATAGGTAACGGAATAGTAGCTGGAGGTCAGTTGATCTTTCCCTCGATGTTTCCGGCCCATCTTTCTAGTCGACTATCTGGTGAATGAGTTTCAGACTTATCTTTCTGAGTTGTTTTACCAGTCACCATCGATACTTCAACTTGTTTCTTCGACCAGTTTACCGCTAGCTGACACCATAGCCCTTTGTATCACATTAGCCTTCGCTGTTTTCCACCGCCAGTTGTCACTGGGTTGAGGTCTCGTCAGTTTGCGCTTAAGTTACTTCCGCCCTTCTTTGTGCAGAAATACATTACGCGCACCCATTAGTTCCAAAGAATCCACTGAGATTTACTGATGCCCCTTTTCTGAGGGTCACTTTCGATCTTTAATGCTGTTTTCACAACAGATTGGATATGATGCCAGTGAGTTTGTCCTGCTCCGATAACTATTTAGCCAGTTCCTCATTGAGGACAGCTTGAGTACTTATCATCTTCCTGCTGTAGGGATAGTCTTGTTTCTGCGTCTATTTAAGCACAGGCAAAGTTATGCTCAACCTGTCTGTTATCCCTCATCAAACGTGCTCCACAAAAAGCAGCTTTCTCCTCAACCGTCATCAGCGGTAGTTGGCAGCAGTATAGTCTGCATGTGTTCACCTCTGAATTGGGGTAGGCTGACGGCAAACCAGATAATGTATCTTTGGCTGAAGGTCAGGTTGGTCATATGAAGTTGGCTTTCTGTAGTTAGCGTGCCAAATTACTTTACTGTGTATCATTTGACAAGGCACTGAATCACAGTAGTCTTCATGCAACGCTTTGCATATGGGTGGTAAGAAACGCATGTCAAGCATTCATAATCTGCCAGTCCATGTCCCTGGAAGGCTCTGCATCTTGCTGCTGTTTTCATCAGTCACGACCTTGTCATCCGAATCTCGATTGAAGGACATCGGAAGAGCTCATCATCTTGATACCACTGGGCAATAAACGTCCGAAATGTAATCCAGTAAAGAATACTGCTACGCTCTGTGATAAATGTAATAAATCAACAAAAGGCCATGAGCCACACTTATTTTGTGAGGACCGACGATATAACCTAACTGCCCGCACCTCGGTAGGGGGAGGTATGTTCGAACCTGCGATCCACTGGTTGGAAGCCAGTTCCCTAAACCTATGAGCCAAAACTCTGATGGCTGTTGACTTTACGTGGTGTTTGGACTTATAGAGCTTTGCTACCTGTAAAGATCGTTCTTCGAGGTCCCATTATACCAGGAAAGTCTGTTGGATAGTAGCTAGACAGAAACCAGTTACAATCATTATGTAAGTAGCTTATTCTGTAACGGGTTTCGAACGCAAAGTCATGCTGTTAGCTAGTTGGGGTATGACATTAGTAACGTGGTTTTCAAGGTCCTTAATGTTGCACACTTCCTCCTGCCTTAAGATCTTCTGTTACTGGTTAGATAGGTTTTTTCGCTTGGCATTAAAACAATCAAATCTCAGTCCGAAACTTTGGAAAAGGCAGTGTGTCACTGATTTCAAGCAAATGTCTCTTGGGTCCTGCGGTCACACTAAACTTTTATCAATTTGTTTTGTATTTCCGACACAAGACAACTATCACTCCCATGCCCCCAGGGCTTTCTGCTGATAGCCTCTCCCTGACTACCATCTATCAGAGGGTGCTGCGATGGAGAGCCGCCTAGCTTGGTGGCCACATTGCAAAATGATAGACAGAATTCGATTAGCACTTCATTACTAGACATCATGAAATCAGCTACTTCCCAGTGATCGACCAGTGTATATAATCCTAGCATTTATCAACATGCTAGAATTATATCGAAATATTTTTTTATTGAGGTTCACTTAGTCGTCTGGTGATTAAAGAACAGTGTTCATCTGTCCAATTCCCCTGTGATTATCACAGGAGTTTCCTCCTTTCATGAAGACTGGGACAACCAGCGATTGATGAAACCAGTCACGGTGGAAAGCTGATCTTTAGTCAAGTCTCCCAACTAACTATGCTTAAAGACTAATCTCAGGTACTTAACTCGCACATCTTTCAGTTTGTAGTAGCAGGTACTGCAGTCGACAATTTGCGCCAAATGCATATTACTTTTGAAGATCCTCGTCGCCGAAAATTAACGTAGTATATTGTAGATTACAGATAACGAAACGTGCATTCGCGAACTACTCAACAATACGAATGTACTTTTATGATAAAAGCATTCATGATCAACAACGAATAAATCAGTCTAGAAATGCCGATTAAGCCATTGGTGGGAATACATTCAGCGAAGTCACTTTCCCCAGCGATTTCATTCGCAGGCTTTGCAATCATATCAATATTATATTTAATTAACTAGGGACAGATGTTCATAAAAGTTTAGAACGTAATTCAGTTTTGATTACAAGTCAGGAGATCAGGAAAGAAGCTACTTTTTCTTTAAAATAGGTCCCGAATATTTACTGGCCACACTAATCACCTTGACTGATAAACGACTATTTTTTTCTACCTTTTAGACTGAAACGGTAAACCTATAGAAGGAAACCACGCAAGAGTGTACCTCAGATACTACCTCAATCAGTCCAAAGTGGTAATCATAAATCACAACATTGAAGTGTTTATTGTGGCAAAAAATTAAGACTTACCTCTACTTTTCGTTTAAGTTTACTCAGTCTTTGTAACTTTGGTTTCGACTGAAATAATCTAGTGCTCAAGACTAGTGCATAGATTCTTTCTCAATTCGTATTTGGACCATTTTCACAGCTCATCTTCAAATCTTAGAAGTGTCCGGCAACTCAGAAAATATTGTTGAAACCTACTAGCTCTAACTGACACCTCACCTAGCTCATACAGTCTGTACCGTTTTTCTCAGTAAACCCAAAACGCTTTCAAATTCTCTTCAAAATGAGCCACTCCTTCATGTTTTGCTCAGTGTTAAGTCACTTCTTGAAAAACAATATTAATATCCTGACCTTCAAGCTCAGAATGGTTTTGCAGTTTTATTCGCTAACGCGAAGAAAACTCTACTAAAGGTTTAGTTTTCTAATATTATTTAATAAGAATGCAGTCTACTTTTATCTGTTATTAAAATAAGTGGTCACCAATTCCTTATTCACGTACACGCGAAGTTTTTGCTTATTACCATGGAACCGTCATTGTCGACTTGATGGTTGGAGGTCCCAAAACTACCTAATAACTGATCTCCTGTTAACTGTTTCTCTCTGTTTACATTTCCGTGTTCTTGATAAGAGTTTCGACAAATGCTTGACAGTTAATAAGTTACACATTCTCCGCTTAAGAACGGCGAAGGATTTCTACACAACTACAACGGTGTGTAGTCCGGATACCTATTTTAGTAATCTGGTTTAATTTTCGAGTTCAAATTAAGTAAATTGAATTATCTTCCCCACTTCTGATTTCACATCTCTTTTGTAATTCGGTTAGGTATACTACATATGATCTGGTAGCTAATGTCGTGCACGATGGTCCCCCAACTCCTGGCTCTGGTACGCATCGTATCCACTTGTTACATCGTGGCACCGGGAAGTGGTTCGAACTTCAAGACTTACACGTGACCGAAGTCCTGCCGCAAATGATACCCCTCAGCGAAACCCTTATTCAGGTAGGCAGTTTATTTCTGATTCTCTCTTTGGAGTTATTTTGGAAATAATGGTTTGGGATTGTTTCAGTGTATTAAGATAAGCATCTTTGAATAGAATTCACTTGTTTGTACATCACGTATTTAGCATTAAGTATTTTGCCAGAGGTTACTTTCTTTTTCTCATTATTAGGTTTGGGCTGTGAATAAATCTATACCCAACCAAAACTTCAAAGTGTCTGAAAAATTACCACATGAAGGGAGTGGCGAGATGGTTGAATCAGAAGACACAAAAATGGAAGAAGGCCAGTGTGAAGCTATCAAACAAGAGGAAGCTATGGAAACAGGTCCCGCATCACATGAGTGACTTTAAGGACTTCCCGTTGTCTTTTATAATATAAAAATCAATATAAAACACCGAGATTATTATGATTTTAAACGGGCTTTATATGAATAACTTCGAATTCTTTCTTTTTTAAATAACGGTAACGGGAAGTGACTAGATTGGCTTTATGATAGATTTAAAAAACCAACGCACTATCTGCAAAGTCGCTTGTAACATCACATTTATAACTAGGCAGTGAAATTATTTTCCTGAAATTTAATAGTATAACTGAGTTGATTGGAGAAGAATTTATATTAATTAGAGTGCAATGCAAAACAAAAGTATTGTTCTTCATAATCAACAGCTGATAATAAATAAATGGAATGCATAGATGAGTGGTCATAATAGAAGTAAATGCATAAACTAATTTGGAGTATATTGCACTTCACTAAAGCGTAGGTCACGGATCAGTGATATCGAGTGTTAGACTGCACTGATGGCGGGTTCTTTTTTAACTGTAGAAGGAGGACACGCATTCTGTTCATGTCTCGCTGATTATCTTTTGAATTAATCGAAGTGGTGTGAGCACTTGCAGCATCCTCATTGGTAGAAGTGACGAAGTTACACAGTTGACAAACTCTATCCCACAATACAGCCTGGCCTGCATCTGCTCCTGATATCATAGCGGATGCCTGTACGGCTTTTTCTTGAGCATCTCGAAGTTCTTTGTCATGGGCACGACTGAGTTTTCTTCCTCGCGAAAGAGAATCACGGTATTGAAGTGCCCACTCATGCAAATCCTTTGAATATAAACAAGAGGAATTCCTTGTAAAATTTTATATGAATACCAAAATAAACCATTTAAATCATGTTTCATAAAACTTGAATTGATCATAGGCACAACATAAGACTCTTACGTTAGCCAGTGTGTATTCATTACTTGGGGAGTTAAAGCTAAGAAACTATCCTACTTTTTATCAAGAAACCATCAGTATCGTCGACTAAAGGTACAGTGAAACTACATAGGTCCTACCAAATGTTTGTTTCTAAGCACAATTAGGTACTTATTGATGTAGTCACGTTACTACTACTTGCCAGATAAATAATAAAGTAGATGTGTGCTGTTTTGCAGACTGAATTGTGAATTCATTAGTCCCACACTTAGCATTCGCTGGAACTAATACTCCGGAATGATGCATGGAGAACAGGGATTGTAATATATATGTTTCACGCACTTTCACCAAAAAGTTCCAACAACCAGTTTTAAATACAGTTCCCACAACCTGAATCACACAATAGTGAATACATGTGCTTACACCAAGAGTTACAACAGCATACACTTTAATGACGACCAACAGAATTATGGCACTAGTCAAAGTCACAGAACGACAATAGCCAACGAGAACATTGTTGAACATGACCTGGCCAAGCGTAAGCTTCATGTCTGCATCAGATGTCTGTCCAGAAAGTGACAACTTATTACAGGGTGAGTCCACGCGATGCTGCCGCACAAATGTTAAGATTTCAACATATTTTCATATCCATTATTGTTTGTAATACAGTTATTCACAACCACTGATATCAATGCCTTCGCTTCTGTCTTGTTTTCCTCCTGACCTCTCTCTAAATTTAATGCGTGACAACTTTGATACCCAACTATGCTGTGCTATTTTTCTACATATGTATGGATCTAAAATAAGTCATATTGGAGATTGTATAATGCTTCGCCAAAGTAATCTGTACATTCCGAGTAAACTGCAAGTAACAAGCTAGCTAACATCTACCTCTTCACTCCTCTTTTGTGTATTATGATTTACTACCTGATGGTTATCTAGTATCTTTGACCATGATGCAATTTCTTTACATGGGTTATACTGCTGGATGAGTCTATAAACTGGTCCATGTTTAGAACATACAGTGGTTATGACTGGGAACAACTACTGTATCTCGTGTTTCTGCCTACGCACGTCAGCCGCTCTCAGTAACATATTCCAGTTACACAATAAACTATTAATGCGAACCACCGACAAATGAGACCACTCCAACTGCGCATACTTTCCGACTTCGACGTGTTTTTTCAGTCAATTATTTCATCATATATAATTCTAGCTGTAATAACCACCCTATCACTACGATATGCAAGTTTGGAGTGCAAGCGCGTGGGCTAAATTGATAGATTATACATATACGAGGATTCATTTACAGCTGAAGCAGATAGAGCGTCAAATACATAAGTTTGTAACTAAAAAAGATGTGCCAGAGAGGGAGTTGTACGCTGGTTCTGTAACAGGAACCCGTCACTGCAAAAACCCCTGGTTAGAATTTGAAGTTCTCCAAACATGGATGAACAAAGCTTTCAAACCTGAAGGGTAGAAATGCTATCTGCGTCACCGCTCTTGCCTCACATACAGCCCCAATGCTATATCTACTAAATTTCCACAGGGCTGACATCATAGCACTGAGATTATGTCTTTGAAATTTTGAAAGTGTATTGACTATACGAAGAGTAGCGACATTCCAAGTAGCCGAATCCATTTGCTAAACAGCTGCATTAATATAGACAAGAAATCGCGCTCACTGTTCTCCATGATAAAGATAATGAGTCAAGCATTTTGTGTTACTCCTTGCAGCACTTGTCTCTATGGTAATCTTCACTGTAGAAACTGTCACCACCAGTTCCGACAAAAATTTCCACTTGGTGATGACAGTAGTCTTTGAGCCTTTAACGATGATCTCTTAGTTCTAGAAATAGTACGAGTGAATAAAGATCTAAATAGTTATTCAAAGTAAGACACCAAAATAAGGTCACCCATTTTCCTACGACATGACAATGAGAAGCTTAAGCTTGGCAACTAGATTATATATGAGTACGGGGGAATGTTAAGTATTGTCACCAACTCAGTTTAACCATATTCTCATTGTCATGTCGTAAGAAAATGTGTGATTTTAATTGGGAGTAACTTACTCTGACTAACTATTTATATCTCTCCAATCATTTCACTTCTTCTAGGACTAAGAGACTATCATAAAAGGTTCAAAAGCCACTGTCGACTAAACTACGAATGGAACTCAAGTTCTTTCAGTCATCAAAAACTGTAAGTTCCTTGTCGGGACTAGTTATGGCAGTTTCTTCAGTGAAGGCTCTCATAGAGACAAGTGCTGTAAGGATGGAAGACTTCCTGACCAGAAAGAAATGCCAAAGTCACTTACTTTGAGTCCTTGTTCTTCTAGCTGGGACATGTTTCGACGTTCAGCATCATCCTTGACTTCTATACGTTGATGGAAAGCCACAGCCCATCTTTTAATGCATTCTGGTTCTTCGCTGCGTTCAGGAATTTCATTTTCTCCTCCTGTAATTGCAATTTTCGAAAAACAAAGACTGTACTTGTTGAAAAGTTTAATTCCTCTTCCAATCCACGTAAATTCCTTCGCTCTCGTACTAAAAAGTCACTCAATACAGCATCGGTTGCCATTTGAACTGCGGACGTTTATTCCTGACCTTGAAGACATCAGAAATATTGTTCCAATATCATTTTACCATATAGTGTAAACCCATAGGTTTATTCACGTCTTCTTATAGCTTTTGAGTCATAGGATCCTTCGACTTTAATGGAGTATTTTAGGGTTTTCATCAGCCTTATTCTTCAGATAATTGTTTTAAGATTTTGTAACCATCTTGTTCACTAATGGCTCATATTTTGAATCAAGTGTGTAATGCTGGGATAAAATTCTTACTCTGATATTTTTTTAGAAGTTAATGCGGTCTCTGTGGTACGTGAAAAGGCATATATTCCATGAATCAGTTCTCCTTGGACTGCGATACCCTCATTCTCCGCAATGTAATTTGATTTTTGGTGGCAATTACCTGTACCGAAAAAGCGAAAACCTAGCCTCCTTTGACATGGCTGGTTGTATTGGATTGCTGCAACGTTCACTTACTACGTTTCAGTGGTATATATGTATAGAGCAGAGTGTTGACCTTCCTTCATAACTCCATCATTCAGTAATTCTACATGTAGCTCTCAGCGTGCAGTTTCTGGTAACATCTTCATATGGACCTGCTTAAATTTAGAGGATTTTGAGCAATTAATTGCCCTGTAACCCAACTGTAATATACATGTCGCAATGTGGCAGTGTTTAAAGGACTACAGAGACAAGTAGTTCCCCAAAACCAGCAGCCTGAATTTCAATAAACTTCAGTTATGACGCTGACCGTCATGTTTTTCTCAAACTCGTTAAAATGACGGTACGTGGTCAAGTGCCTGTGTCCTTCGGCTAGTCATTATGATTCGCCGAACCATACATTCACCCTCTCTAGGCCATCTCGTTTACATCTTTCTGTTTGTTGGTACAGTTCATCTGAAATACGATTCCTGCCTTGCTACTCTGATGTATTCTATTTTGATCTTGCATTCATAAGATCTCTCAAGTTTGGGGATTACTGCCTGTCTTTGTAAAGACCGAGTGGAATAAACTGTGGTGGAAGAAACTGTGGCACGTGCTCTAGGTCGATCATTTTCCGCAGCATCTCTTGGTTCTACTGGCGAAGTGAGGCTATGTTACGGCTAGGGACTTGAATCTCACTGTCAACACCACGTCTGTCGAGCTGAGCGACGCTTCAAACAAGTTGCCTGAAAGGGTTTATGAGAACGCCTTCCTTAAATCAGTATTCAGCATAGCGTCTGGCAGCAGACCAGTAAATATTTACACCAGAGAGAAGTAAAAATGCATTTAACGGTGTATGAATGGCTTTTTGTCATAGGAGTACCTCAGGAACTCAACGTTGACCTACCACTTCTCTTCCTCTGAGGCTAAGGAGCACCGCTGCAACCCCTGATATGGCGCTTTGACTTGCTTAGTGTTCATCAAGCCCCAGGATGGTTAGCGCAGATTAAGTTCGCACACGCTGAAGGACAAAATGCCGACTATGACTCATTATCCCAGAGAGTGTACTCAGCGCTTCAGTTGACCTTGCCACCAGAGAGCCTCTCCACGCTGTGGTTGAGTGCCATGGTCATCACCTATGTGGTCGAGAAAGGCCAATGAACGTACATCAAGCTGGTACTTGATAAGGCTGACAGTAGGTGGGTGTTCGGCAGGCTCTACAGTAACTTGCTGCGGGCAAATGTGATGGCCATCCTCATCTGTGCTTGAGATTAGGATACCACGTAGGTGGCAGCGGGCAAAATCCAGATGTAGGGCTTCATGAAGTAAATGCCGGAAGGTCTTTGCGACGCTTCGCAGTCCGATACATCTGCGGGAGACTTAAAATAGGTAGGGTGGTGGGATCACTGAAGCATTCAGAAAGGCTTCCGGATGAAGTAATGGCAACCGCCCGGTCATTCTTTGAAAGGGATCGCTCATTTCGGGGAAACAATCAAATCATGTGATCAGGCCGACGGGAAACGGTCAGGAATTGTTTTCGTGTTAAGCTCCCGACGTTTTCCAAAGACTCATAGTTCATACAGCGTTCTTCAGGACTGCATGCAAAGGCGAACACCACAGACTCCTGGAAGGTTCGTCAGAGACGTTGGTCACCATCACATGCCGGCCGGTGTGCTCCATGGCTGCTTGAAGTAGCAAGTACGCCATTCAGCGCAATTTTTCTGTTGTCACAATAACGCATATGTCTTTAAAATACTATCATTTCCAAGCTCCTTGATTCCAGCATAAAATGACGACTTTTGAGGTAGATCTAGAATTTGACCGGGAAACGCGATTGCGTGTGGTTGGGCCATCTCTTCGTGAATGCTTGAATGCTCTCCATGTAGTTCATTAGTACGAGCAACTAGGTCCAAATTTGTAGGGCTATAAAGCAGACAAAAATCTGTGATGAGGCCAGTGAAAGCGATTGTACTCATAACCACCTCCATTCCGGGTGACGGCTGTACTGCTGTGATAGCCTGGCTTGCGACCTCGACCAGCTGCAGGAAAGAGGACTAGTGAAATCGTCTGGGATAACTTGAACCAACTGCGGGAGAAGCCGGTGCCATAGTTGTCTGGGAAAGGTGTCCTTGGACTTGATACTAGAGACAAGCAACTGCATCCGGCACAGCACTTGCGTAGGCTTACAAACACCTAGATGCTCTAAGCGAACTTCTTCCTGCTCCTATTCCTGACCAGTCAGACCAGTCCTTGTGATGCGGACCTACCTGAGGCAGTCACAAGGTTCTGAGCAACTGCGAGACGTTTTGCACAGCGTTTGCCAGGGGGTCTTGACAACAAAGACCGAATTGGTTTATTAAGTTAATCCAGCTAGGCATGAACTGAGCTTTGACTTGAGTGAACCAAGCTGATGATCTGTCTGCTCAAAAGATGGTAAGCTGCACAGCAACGGTTGCTTGTCCTGGAGAGTCCCAAATTTTGGTCACTTCTAGAATATTAGACGGTTAAAAAGTTAATACAGTCAAGTGCAACGGAAGATATAAAAATATTTGGGTATGCTACCGAAGCAGGAAAGACATAACCTTGATGCGAGCCCGAGAAACGGCAGAAATTTTCGCAGACGTGGCACTAAACACCTAAAAATGAATGATACTAAAATTCACCACTTGTGAGAAGCCGGTTGTGTTGTCATGATCTGACATTGGACGAGTCTCGCATAAATCAGTATCCACAAGAGAAGACAAATAAATAACAATCTGGACAGTATGGAGGCGCCAAGACTTGCAGTTCGTTTATCAGTCTTAAATAAACTGTCTATACTACTTGTATTAAGCCTCGTAACGCTCGGTTCCGAATACTTGCACTATTCGTTTGTGAAGGCTTGTAAGTCTAAAACGATGGAGTTGTCGACTGTTAAATTCTCGCCGGTAGGGCTTTTGGTGTGACAACACGGTCTCTTCAGTCTTATGGAGATCTCGTGAAAAAGACAGGCACCTTATGAGTCGGTAGGGAGTTACCTATTTGAATGAAGCAATCACTGATCGTTATATTCTCGGCTTATCAGGGATTGCGAATGGATCCTGCTGAGGTCTGTATGAATGTGTTGCATGATATGACGACATCAGGTTCATACGTTGAGGCACAATTAACATCAGAAACCAGCAAAAGAGGCAGCGGCATGGCGTTATTTGTTGTGACAGATGACTGGCAAGGTAACACTTTATTCGAATTTGACTGTCTGCGGACAAACAGTTAAAGGTTGATAGAAACAACCACTTGTGTGTGTAAGTACGTACACTTTCGATCAGTATGTGCGACACCCGTGAAGAAATTAGTTGTAGGCTAAGCCTTTTCGGCGGCTCATTTGTGGTGCATACAGCTCATCAAAGTTTATTCTTCCGAGATTATCCATTGCACTTTGATGGTTTTTGGATTTGTACACTGTCTTCAACTGCTGGATTGGGCTCTTGCATGACGGTTCTTGTTACATGTGTATCTGATTTGAATAAGTTTTCTTTGTTGGATCTTTAGGATTTGTCCCGGTGCGAACTTGACAGACGCAAAGACCAGTCACTAATTATTCGGACTTGTTATATACCCACGAATACGAGACCAAGGAAGAACACGATAGCGTAGTCGGATGGAATAGTATATTTGGATGGTTGTGCCAAAATACTGATGCGTTCCAACTAACTAGCTAGAGAGTCGAACGCGAGCAGTGCAACGTAATAAGACAGCTTGCCGAATGGCGAGGATGCTTGGCAGCGCGCCTTCAGCTTAGCGAGTCTAGTTAAACTATCAGGGTCAGCGTCAATGTCGAAAGTCGTCGAACCCTAGGCTATTGATTTTAGGGAAGTGTGTGACACTACAGATCACTCCCCCCTAGTGGGTTCGTGAGGACCCTAAGACGATACCATCCGGAAGTAAAGACCCAGTGGTTTCTCCACTGGTAAAACTCTTCCGATGGGCTGACTGCGTGAAGTGGCCCCTGGTTGTCTGAACTTATTCTAGGGTGCCGTGGCAATTAAATAATGAAATACAATAAATCGAATTGGGCGTCGATCGCGGTCCTCAGTTCCTTTTGACGTTCTGTCCGGTGCTCGTTGCACCTGGAATATAAATAAGAGTCTTTAATACCACGGAAACGTTTTGTAAAAATGGGAATTGTTTATATATAAACATATCGAAAAATAAAAATTTACGCTTACATGGTAATAAAAATTGATATAAAAAGACAAGGTGTAAGAGGGTTTGTGCATTGCCGGCAAATAAGAAAAATAGTGCCACTAAAAAAATTTTGTGAGTGAAAGAAGTATGGCTGGCACACACACCGCTAAGTTGAATACGGCTTCAGATACTCCGGGAACCTGACGGTTCGACCTGATCGTGTTTTTGTCGCGCCGTGGTTGTTACTGCATTAAGCCATCGTCGAGAATTTCGATAATTGAGCTATGGCAGCCTGGAACGTCACTTATAATGGGGTTGCCTTCGAAGTAAGCTGGTTTCAAACAGTCGATACTAACAGAATCTTCACACTCGTTTCGCTCAACTATATAGGATCTCTCGTGTCGCTTGACCATTTTGAATGTCCCATCGCAAGGTGGTTCAAGTGGTCGACGAA